CCTAATTACTGCTGGGTAGACAGAGGCAAATGGCGTAAACAAACTTGCCCATAGTTTCATGCTGCCCGGAACGCTTACCTAACCTAACCCTACCATGGGAACATTAGGTATATAATCATCAGGTGAAATAAGGTAATGAAAGGGGGCTAATCTGCAGGTGATCCTAACAATTAAGATACATATTAATATAGACCACCACGTATTACAGTAAAAACCCCACGTATTACAGTAAGACAACCACGTATTGCAATAAGACCCCCAAGTATTACAGTAAAACCCCCACGTATTACAGTAAAACCACCACGTATTACATTAAAACCTCCAGTTAAGTCCAGACCATCATTACCTTCAGGATAGGGAACAGGTATAATCCTCTCTGATTAGTTGAGGCGAGTGCCAGGCCTCTTCAGCACTCGCGTAGTTATAATGATCCAGTGTACAGTGTCTGGTCTCTGGCTTTAAAACTCGGCATTTATATAGCCAGGGTGTAACATGTTGGCTATTTTTCTTAGATAATTTTAGAAATATTTAGTATTTTCATTATTATTGTTATTACTATTATTATCATCTTTATCAATATTATTACAACCTCTATGGCTATTATTATTCTACCTGCCCAGACGACAATACCTCACAATAAGACAAAAGATCTCAATGTTACTTCAGGAGGAGGAGGAGGCTGAAGCTATCTGTCTCAGTGAACCGTGTTTGATGTGACTCAACTTCCGTGTTGTGCATGACGCTAGGAGTTCATTCTTTCCTGAGAGGGAGTGTTGACTGTGTTCTCTCTCTCTCTCTCTCTCTACACACACACACACACACGCACACAGTATAAAACTTTAACATGGTTTAGGGAGGGGACGAGTTATTTAAATGCCACCAACTGACGGCCACAAGCTGGTGCTGCCCTATGACCACACACAAGCTGATGTTATCTTTGTTGGTGTTATCGTAGTGATGTTATCTTGATGTTAATGTTATCTTTGTTGGTGTTATCTTAGTGAAGTAATCTTGATGTTAGTGTTATCTTTGTTGGTGTTATCGTAGTGATGTTATCTTGATGTTAATGCTATCTTTGTTGGTGTTATCTTAGTGAAGTAATCTTGATGTTAGTGTTATCTTTGTTGGTGTTATCGTAGTGATGTTATCTTGATGTTAATGTTATCTTTGTTGGTGATATCTTGCAGTGATGTTAACTTTGTTGATTTTTTCTTTGGTATTAACTTTATGTTGATGTTATCCTTTTGTACTCGTGTTATATTGAGACTGAAGATATCATAGAGACGACCCACTAAGGTTATTACTGCTGGAGAGAGAGAGAGAGAGAGAGAGAGAGAGAGAGAGAGAGAGAGAGGTCTTGTATCCAACATATCATCCGCCAACACCCAGAACTCCCTTATTAGTCCAGGGGCCGAGAGCACAAGTGGTGTCCTAAATTGGGCCACCCGGGACATGATAACAGCGAGGGGAGACATTCTGAATCACGGCGGTAAGTGAGAAATCCGCGGGTGTGTGCACAATCCTGCGTCTCAAACTTTACCAAAAAATTAGGGGCAGGGGAAATTGAAATCAACTTCATATTGTTGGAAATCAATATATGTATGGATATTACCACTCAAAATAAAGCTTATTATAGCTGCTTCAAGATGAAACTTAAAACAAAATTGATTGGTTGATTTTCAAGGTCACCAGAGGTAAATATGTTCCGTCAATAAAAGTTGGCCGAAATGATTGGCTTTGAAAATTAATTCCCAATTATTCTGAATAGGTAGAATTTATAATATTTTCCATGTATTCACCAAATCTTAAACTGTACTAAGTGGGGAAGTTTTTAGAAGCGAAAGTTTACAAACACTACACACGTTAACCCTTTCTCCGACAGTTACAATTTTCCCTTAGAATCTGAAAAAGACCCTACAACCATTTAACCACCCAATCCCCAAAAATAATGTCTCTAATTCACACACACACGCACACACCCACACACACACACACACACACACACACACCAATATAATCCATTACTGGTCGCCCCACACAGTAATCCCTCAATGTTTACCACCACTGCCATGATGTAAATCCCCGGCAAGCTTTAACCCATGGCATAAATACCATCTAATCCTTATTGGACGTTTAGAGCTTTGGCTGAACATGATCCTGGGATATATAATGTATTCAGGTAAATCGGTGTAAACAATCTTCACCTCTAGGTGCCGGGTCTCGAACCAGGGTCACCACGGGCAGGTTGTTTACACCTGGGTAATGCTGGCTTAACTTACCACAGCTTAGGTAATCCTCTCCAAGCTAACCTGGGTAATACTGACTTAGCTCAGATAGGTCTCGTTTTAGCTTTTTATAATTATGGTTATTCCTGGGTTAGCTTAGATATACTGTACTCGTAGATATTTCTGGCTTAGCTTTCCAATGACTAACCATAATATAAGTATAACTGACTTAGCTTATCATAAGATGAGGACTAGCTTAATCCTCTCCTAGCTGACCATAACCTGAGCATAGCTGACCTAGCTCTTTATGGCCTAACAAATACAGTACTTGGCTTTAATAAGAATAGCTGACAGTTTTTAAGGCTAGCACAAGCCATATGCAACGCCAGCACAAGCAATATATACGCCAGCACAAGCAATATACAACGCCAGCACAAGCAACAATATACAACGCCAGCACAAGCAATATACAACGCCAGCACAAGCAATATATGCAACGCCAGCACAAGCCATATGCAACGCCAGCACAAGCAATACCTGTATACAAAGCCAGCACAAGAAATCGCCTCCATTAGAGTACTTGTCTTAGTGAGAGAGAGAGAGAGAAAGAGAGTAAAATCGTCATAAAAGTTCATCACACACACACACACACACACACACACACACACACACGATCTCATACACTAAAACACTGTCTTTCAGATCAGTCGTGAGGCCTTGCATACCTGTACCCTCTACCTGTACACCGTGATAACACCAAGTGACGTACTCTAGTTCTACCTGTACTTGGACCTGTACCTGAACCTACCCTGTTTTTTACAGGATTTCCTACGGTAATTTCACAACTTTCTTTATAATTTGATAATTTTTCCTTGATACGTTTGTTAAATTGTTTCGTACTTTCACCAAGTTTTTTTTTTTTTTAATTTTGCTACTTCCTTTTGTGATTTTCGATACTTCATTGGTTATTTTCGCTACTTTCCTCACAGGTGATCTCGCGACTTTCTTTGGCATTTTCGCTACTTTCCTCTGTAATACTTCTACTACTTTCTCTTGTACTTTGGCTGTTTCCTCCCTAAACTTTCAGTACTTCCTTTGGTACGTTTGCAACTTCCTTGGGTACTTACATTACTTTTTCTGGTACTTTCGCTATTTCCTTTAGTACTTTCACGACTTTTCGTTATTTTCGCTACTTTCCTCAATGATACTCCCATTACTTTCTCAAGTACTTTCGTTAATTCCTTTGGGTACTTTAACGACTCTTTAGTACTTTCGCGACTAACTTTGGCATTTTCGCTACTTCCCACTATGACACTTCCACTACTATATCTAGTACGGTGGCTACTTTCATTGGTACTTTCGCGACTTTCTTGTACATTCTTTGACATTTTCGCTACTTCCCTCTATGACACTTCCACTACTTTATCTGGTACTTTAGCTACTTTCATTGGTACTTTCGCGACTTTCTTTGCCATTTTCGCTACTTCCATCTCTGACATTTCCACTATTTCCACTACTAACTTGCGCACTTTCGCTACTTTCTTTCCGCAGACACAGGGAGAAAGTAAGGCAAGAGAAAGGAGTTAGCGTGTATGGTAATAAACAGACCGTCTCTCCTTCCCAGAAATTATACCCTGGGCGCATACCTAGACGTCTGGGGCGGCAAGAAAGTGGGCGGCCTTGTATGCTGAGGTGGTATGCTGGTACGGTGCAGTATGTTGGTGGGAGGGTACAGTATGTTGGTGGGACGGTACAGTATGTTGGTGGGAGGGTGCAGTATGTTGGTGGGAGGGTACAGTATGTTGGTGGGAGGGTACAGTATGTTGGTGGGAGGGTACAGTATGTTGGTGGGACGGTGCAGTATGTTGGTGGGAGGGTACAGTATGTTGGTGGGAGGGTACAGTATGTTGGTGGGAGGGTACAGTATGTTGGTGGGAGGGTACAGTATGTTGGTGGGAGGGTACAGTATGTTGGTGGGACGGTGCAGTATGTTGGTGGGAGGGTACAGTATGTTGGTGGGAGGGTACAGTATGTTGGTGGGACGGTGCAGTATGTTGGTGTATTATGGTAGGGTATACTGGTAGGGTATACTGGTAGGCTAAGTAAATAAGGACAAAGCAAACAAGAAAATAACAAGAAATTATATAGTTAAAAAAAATAATTAAATAAAATAGAATAAATTAGGTAAAACAAAATATTGATAAAATATAAAAACCCTGAAATAAAACAATTAAAAAGGAGATGAAATACAATACGATTTGAAATCCATGAAGGAAATAAGGTGAGAATATAATTAAATAGGGAAAATAAGTTAAGAATATGATTAAATAAGGAGAAATAAGATAAGAAACGATTATATAAGAAAACTGAACGATAGATTAAAGAAAATAAAGATAATAAATAAATAAAAAAATAAATGATGATGCAATAAAGCTTTACAGTTTAGTTAAGTGTTATACAGATTAATAGTGATGGCGTAGCTCAGGTTACCGGTGGTGGTTATCAGGACCTGTCTGAGTGGCAGCATTATTCTGAATGGGGCTCCATCCATCAGCGTGAGTGGTAGTCCTGTTCTGAGTGGTGGTGGCGTTTTATTCTGAGTGGTTGCATCAGTATCAGTGACAGTACTGTTCTGAGTGGCAGCATCATGAGTGGTAGTCCTGTTCTGAGTGGCAGTCCTGTTCTGAGTGGTAGCATCATGAGCGATGGTTTTGTTCTGACTGACACCAAATTCTGAGTGGCCGCGGAGTCATCCTGGGCGGCGGGTGAAGGTAATTATGGGTGATGACTGAGTGACGAGCTAAAAGGTCTTGTCATGACACTGCGGGCGTGGGCGGCCACAGACATGGGCATGGGTGGCCAAGTGACTGAAGAAGTGGGCGTGTAGACGTGGGTGGCAAAATGGTGGTGCGAGACAGTAAGCACAGACGTGGGCGTAGGTGACGGTAGACGCTGGTGTGGGCGTGGGTGACGGTAAACGCTGGTGTGGGCGTGGGTGACGGTAAACGCTGGTGTGGGCGTGGGTGACAGTAGACGCTGGTGTGGGCGTGGGTGACAGTAGACGCTGGTGGGTGACCAGACGTGGTGTGGGCGTGGGTGACGGTAAACGCTGGTGTAGGCGTGGGTGACGGTAAACGCTGGTGTGGGCGTGGGTGACGGTAAACGCTGGTGTGGGCGTGGGTGACGGTGAAAACGCCGGTGGGCGTGTGGCGGTAAACGCTGTGTGGGCGGGTGACAGTAGACGCTGGTGTGGGCGTGGGTGACGATAAACGCTGGTGTGGGAGTGGGTGACGGTAGACGCTGGTGTGGGAGTGGGTGACGGTAGACGCTGGTGTGGGAGTGGGTGACGGTAGACGCTGGTGCGGGCGACAGTAAATGCTGGTGTGGGCGCATAGAAAGCGTACCTAAATCACCACAGAATGAGCTGCAGGTGTTTCAATGGGCGTAGGTGTGGGTAGAAGAATGTGTGGCTGTGGGTGTTGAAATGACCGTAGTTGTGGGCGTCAGACGAGGGTACGTACGGGCATCACAGCGCTGGGTACAGTGACCTACATAGTGTGGGCCTTTTCGTGGGTAGAGTGACTCACCCTCCTCAACTTACCCGCCAAAAAGTTATCTTCACCAAGTAACTCAACACCAGAGAGCATTATTCTCATTGGTTGATAAGGCATAAAAAAAACCTACACGGTTTCCAGTTCGTAAATATTATGTAATTATTCTCACTGGTTGAAAAACATCACGACCATGTTGAGAGTACTGAAACGAAGGTAGAGTCTTAGAGTAATGATGACGCCATTTTGGAAGATGATAATTTGGATCACCTGTATAGTAAAGCACCCTAACGTTACCTGGGGGAGTTATGTTATGTTGATAGGTTAGGTTAGGATACGTTAGGTTAGGTTAGATCGGTTAGGTTAGGTTAGGTTAGGATACGTTAGGTTAGGTTAGATTAGATCGGTTAGGTTAGGTTAGGTTAGGTTAGGTTAGGTTAGCGTTAAGGTGGTTCATCTTAATATGCTGCCGGGGAGGAGACTGATCATCAGGTGATCTTAACTAATTGCCTAAAATTATTCTTTTAACCCATATTATATATAACGAATAATATAATCTTGTGTAAAGGGATAAAAAAAAGAGAGACAATCCGTGACGCGAGGAAAACATTACTGTGAGGTCAGGTAAAGTGGGACGTGTGCTGACGCCAACAGTCAATATAATATTTCACCATCAGTCTTACCAAGTCAACAACACACAAGAACTCCTCTGGTCTTCCCACAAAAGAATACAAGTGTTGAAGTTTGTTTTACCTCAAGATTAATCACCATAACGCTAACCTAACCTAACACAAACCTAGCCTAACCTAACGCTAACCTAACCTAACTATAACCAAACCTATCCTAACGCTAACCTAACCTAACTATAACCAAACCTATCCTAACGCTAGCCTAACCTAACTATAACCAAACCTATCCCTAACCTAACGCTAACCTAACCTAACTATAACCAAACCTATCCTAACGCTAACCTAACCTAACTATAACCAAACCTATCCTAACGCTAGCCTAACCTAACTATAACCAAACCTATCCTAAAGCTAACCTAACCTAAAGCTACCCTAACCTAACCTAACCTAACCTAAAGCTACCCTAACCTCAAGCTAACCTAACTAACCTCGCGTTAACCAAACCAAACCTAACCTAACGCTAACCTAACCTAACCTAACGCTAACCTAACCTAACCTAACCAAACCAAACCTAACCTAACCCCCCCCCCTTTCTCCCTTCGCGACAGGATTCGGGTTTTTAATCACAAGTCAGATAAGCTGGGAGATAATAAACCCACAAAACACACTATAAACCACGTCAATAATTAATAAACCACTCTCTTAACCAGCTCCCATCTCTCTCTCTCTCTCTCTCTCTCTTACAAGACTTCACAAAACCCACCCTGTCTCTCTGTCTGTCTGTCCCCACACGTCTGAGAAGTTTACACAAGTGATGGTCAGTTTTGGAGACGATAAGCTTAACACAGAAGCTCAAGTGATAAGAAAAAACCTTGTAATAAGAGACATAAAACTGTGAGAATGTGCGGGTTTATTGCCTGTAAATTGTATAAACTGTTTAGTGGAATGTTTTAAGTGTGTGTGTGTGTGTGTGTGGTCGTGTTGTGAATTCTTGACGTGGTGGCTCTCTCTCTCTCTCTCTCTCTCTCTTCCTCCCCAGTCTCCCACTCATCCCTCATTCACTCCATCTTCCTTCATTCTCCTTCCTTCCCATCTGTCCCTCCTTCACCCATTCCTTACTCCACATCTACTCCCCTTGTCTCCTACCTCTTCCACTTGTCTTCTTCCTACTCCCTCCCTCCCACATGTTAATTCCTAGTAACGAAGATACGTAACACGCACAGCAACATAACACGTACGCTTGACGGCCTCAGGATCCATTAGAGAGAGAGAGAGAGAGAGAGAGAGAGAATACTCTTCACACACACACACACACACACACACACACACACACACACACACACACACACACACACACACACACACACACACACACACACCCGGATGTGGTGAAACTAATAGGCAAAACTCCCTAGATGTACACATAGACGCACGGACACACACAAACACACACACATATTCACGTATACGCACATGCATATCACTAAACACACACACATACATAGACACAGAAACACACACACTCAGAGAGACAGATACACACACAGACAGACATACACACACACATAGGTTATTGCTCCCCTCAGTAAAGCACAGGGTAGTTACCGACTCATGAGTATCTTGTCCCGTCACCATAAACTGCAGACAACTCTCATTCCTGACATTTTGATGGCATTTTCTCCAACATTTATCTCCGCTACCAAGACCTCACCCAACAGTCTGATAAATTCTCAGAGTTTGTGGTATTTATGTTAAGTAATGATGAGAAACTGTTCTATCATGTTATATTATTGTTATGGTTGTATTTTGATAACGAAATATTTCTTTGCTTTTGTTTATGTATTTTGCGATTTTGGGGGGTTTAAGTTTAGTTATATTTTATAATCACTGTCACCTGTAATTATACCTGTTTCTGTACCTGTAACTGTACCTCTACCTGTGTTCGTAGGGGAAGATTGTTTTCTGTAATTTATTTTAATAAGTCTCTCTGCCTGGTGTTATATTTTGACCCGTGATGGTCTTAGGGAATTATTAAAGTTTACATTAAAGATTCAAGAGTCGAGCGAGGGAAGGAAGCTCGCTCTCACTCTCACACTCTCTCACTCTCTCTCTCTCTCTCTCTCTCTAGCGTCATGAGTTGCCTAATTGTTTTTTTACGAGTGTTGAGTCAGTGTGGTGAGAGGATGCGGGCCAGGGAGCCACACAGTCATTCCCCTAAAACAATTCAGTCAATTGTCATGCTCAGGACGCCGTTACTTCCGTGTGAGGGACACTACTTACTTCTAGCTCAGGCTAACAGGACTCACTATCTATCTATCTATCTATCTATCTGTCTCTCTTAAGTCATCCAATTAGCTACAGTCTTACACCTTGAGCTGGAAGTAATATACAAGGTAGGAAGCTTTAAGATGCCACGACCTCTGATAAGTGATACTGACAGCCTCATGGACGGGGACAACCTGTGTCTAATTATATACGGAACACCTGAAGCTTAGCCCCTCAGCTTATTCCTGAAGATTCGCCCCTCCTCAGCTTATTCCTGAAGATTCCCCCCAGCTTATTCCTAAAGAGTCGCCCCTGCCTCAGCTTATTCCTGAAGATTCCCCCCAGTTTATTCCTGAAGATTCGCCCCTCCTCAGCTTATTCCTGAAGATTCCTCCCAGCTTATTCCTGAATATTCGCCCCTCCTCAGCTTATTCCTGAAGATTCCCCCCAGCTTATTCCTGAAGAGTCGCCGCCCCTCAGCTTATTCCTGAAGAGTCGCCCCTCCTCAGCTTATTCCTGAAGAGTCGCCCCTCCTCAGCTTATTCCTGAATATTCGCCCCCAGCTTATTTCACCTGATGATTAACTAATTTACTATACTAACGCAAATTTAACCTTACCTACTCTAACGTTAAGCTTGTAGGACAGACTGTAATACACCAAGGGAAGAAATACATCACAGAAATACACCAAGGGAAGAAATACATCACAGAAATACACCAAGGGAAGAAATACATCACAGACATACACCAAGGGAATAAATACATCACAGAAATACACCAAGGGAAGAAATACATCACAGACATACACCAAGGGAAGAAATACATCACAGACATACACCAAGGGAAGAAATACATCACAGAAATACACCAAGGGAAGAAATACAACACAGACATACACCAAGGGAAGAAATACATCACAGAAATACACCAAGGAAGAAATACATCACAGACATACACCAAGGGAAGAAATACATCACAGAAATACACCAAGGGAAGAAATACATCACAGAAATACACCAAGGGAAGAAATACATCACAGACATACACCAAGGGAAGAAATACAACTTACTGTATACTTGAGGCAGTGGAGTGAGGAAAGAGACTTGGCTGATAACACTTGAGAAATTATGCTCTTAAGTCGAGGGTTTTTTCTGTTATAAGTTAAGTCAGTTGGGATAATGAGCACACACACACACACACACACACACACACACACACACACACACACACACGAGGTAAAACAAGATTCCTTCAACACGCCCAATAATTCACGATAATTAGGCGAATATAAGAGCATTTTTATTTGAATTATCTAACCTCGTCAATTACGGGATTATCAGCTTGGTGACAGTTAAGGGAAGAATTATCATAAGGGTCCCTTTAGTTGTGGCCGATGACGTCACACTTAGACCCCAGCCAACTCTCAGCCAATAAGATAATAGATTTTTCTCTTTCTTCCTCCTTTTCTTCTTCTTCTTCTTTCCCCTCCTCCTCCTCCTGTTGTTGTTGTTCTTCCTCTTTGTCTTTCTCCACCTCCTCCTCTTCATCTTCCCCCCCTCCTCCTATTCTTCTTTCTCCTCCTCCACCTCCTCTTCCTCCTCCTCCTCCTCCACTTCTTTCTCCTCCTCCACCTCCTCTTCCTCCTCCACTTCTTCCTCCTCCTATTCTTCTACTTTCTGTTCCTCCTACTCCACCTCTTCTTCCTTCTTCATCTTCCTCCTTTCTCCACCTTATTCATGCGAACACATCCCTATTTAATATTTCCCCTAACTTCTATAGTAAATTTTATATATATATATATATATATATATATATATATATATATATATATATATATATATATATATATATATATATATATATAGAGAGAGAGAGAGAGAGAGAGAGAGAGAGAGAGAGAGAGAGAGATGATTATTATGGCCAACACGACCATTAAAATCTGCTTACA